TCCCAGTATAACCAAGTCTTGGCCAGTCCGATGTCACATATACCCCACTGATATTCCTCTCTGGTATATTATTTAGAAGCAAGTTTCAAACATTGTATCATCTTATCCATATATATTTGAGTATGTACCTCCAAATTATATAAGTAGCTTTAAAACATAGCTACAGTATGGTCATCCCACTAAAGATAAATGAATTCATTAATATCATCTGACATTCAAAATATGTCAAATTTTCAATTATTTCATTGAAATTTTTAAGGTTGTCTGAATCAGGATCTATTAATTTTACACATTATGATGGGTAACATTTCTTTTTATCTATAGGTTTCCTTGGCATCTTTTTGTTTCCAGTAACTTCTTTGAAGGAACTGGGTTGTTTGTACCATAAAGGTTCCCATAGCCTGCCTGGATTTTGCTGATTGCATGCTATGATGTAGTTTTTTAAAATATTCTCCATCCACTTATTTCTTGAAAATTGGAGACTGTGTTCTTTTCATTGTTTTTCTTTTATTTCTACTTATGTATTTTTCTTTTTTGTTTTTTGTTTTTGAATCAGAAGAGTTAGTTCTAGCTATCATTTTAATGGTTGGTTAGGCGTTGTGTTATATTTTGCCAAGAGTTTGCCTTTTTGTGGCTTCTAGACTTTTATCTATGGGTTTTCACTTTGTCCCCGAGTGCTGCATATAAAAAAACCCGATCTTCTCCTTAAACAACCTATGCACAAGTCTTTTCATTTAACTGTGCCTCTTACAATCATGGTCCTTCTCCAAATATATTGTCTTGTCAATGTCAATTTTTAAAATGTATTCGTGGAACCAAAAATGATATTCTAGATGTGGGGTATTGCTTTTCTTGAACAGGAGAACATAATTTGGAAGTGATTAGGGCTTGAACCTAGTACTTTCTCCTCCTCCCAACCCAAGTTGTCTCGACTTGAGCCAGAATAGCCACTCAGTTTTAGCAAGATAGACAGAAATACGTAGGCTGGATCTTCTCCTTCTCTTAATTCCACCATCTGTTGCTCTAGGTGACATAACTTGTGTGCATAGTTAATTAGTCTGGCTGTGAATCTCGATCTTTTTTTCTTGAGAGCAACAATTGGAGCTCATGTGCTATACAGTCTGTTGAAGCAGTGCATTGTGTAAAATAAATTACCATTTTTGCTCTACATTTTGAATATCAAATCCTTCCACAGGTTTGTTACAGAAGGAGTAAAACATGGTTGAGCTAATAGTGAGGAAACAATCCCATATACGGTATGATAAACCTTCTCCTGAACCCTGGAGTTATATAATAGTTTAGAAGTTGGGAGTTTAGAAGTTGAGAGTTTGACCTAATTTTTTTTTTAAAATTACCCTTAACTAAGTTTTCTAGTAAATTACCAGTTAATTATATATAAGATCTTTACCAACTTGAATCTATTATGTAGAAATTTGTACTTCCCTCTCTTTTGGAAATCCTTGGACCCAGAGAACACAGTTACATAGATGTTATTGTAAAGCATAATTTGACTGTATGTTAGTTACCTTGGTAATTTGAAAAAATTACAAATTTTATCAGCTTTTAAAAAAGTCTCTATCTTTTCAACCAAGCTATTAAGAATTAACTATAGTTTAAAAAAATAACTATAAAAATTACTCCAAAGGTACTTTTGCATAGTGCTGTATGCTGTCAAATAGATGCTGATTTTGGTGGTTGCAAGTTCACATAAAACTCATAAGGGGAGCTGACTTTGGCAGCTTTGTTTAGAAATAGCCTCTGGAAAGAAGGTAGAAGGCTATTTATAGTCCTAGACCCTAGCACTCTTTGAGTTTGATCCAGTCTGTGGCCTGATCCAACTTACTCAATCTAGGATGGGCCAAATCAGAACAGTGGCCTAGGGTAGACCCCTGTCAGCCTCTGAAGTAACCGCAAACTAACTATTAGTCTCACACAGCAAGGAGAAGTAGTCAACATGACTCAGACAGAGATCTGGATGTGAATCTTAGCTATACTCTATATAGCTGTGTGAATTCGGGCAAATCCCTAACCTCTCTAAATTTCAAGTTCCTATTCTATAAATAGCAATGATAAAAGTATCTATATAACGTATAGATCATGTAACAAACTTCATACAGTGCTTGACATTTAATGTCTTCTCAATATATGTGAATTGTTATTATTACTATTTTTTAGATTTCTTTTTTATTATTATGTTCAATTAGCCAATATATAGTACATCATTAGTTTTTGATGTGAATTGTTATGATAATTGTCATTGTAATTATCTTTATAAATTCATCATGGCCAGAATCAAAGAGATTATTTCTCTAAAATCCTTTGGCTTTCAACTTGGTCCTAGTTCTACTTCATCTATGGCTCTGTACCTGAAACACAATTCCATATTTAGCATTACTTCCTTTGTTCTGTCAGATGAAGTAGTCAGGCTTGGAACATGAACTGGTAATCTATGTAAAGAACTTGGTAAGGTTTATCAATGTGTCCTGCGGTTATAGTTGAATAAGCACTGAGAGAAGCCACAGGAGACATGAATTTTATCTTCAGGCTTCCTCTAATTATCAGTGACCGTGAGGGAGTCATTTAATCTGTATCAGCCTCAGTTTTCCAACAGTGGAGGTCAGGACAATGGACTAGAACTCTCTAAGGGGCTACTCTAGCTCTACCTTTCATAATTGCTATACAGCGTTTGTTTGCTTTTTGATAAATGGGTGAGAAGAGTCATCAGTAGATGTCACAGTCTACTGATGCAGTACTTACATTTTTGTAATGTGCCCCAAAGTGGTGGCAAAAGAAATACAGCAGATGAGAGGAAAGACTATTCCAGGCTAAGGGAATGACATGTACTAAAGTTCTGTACAAAAGCATACCCCTTACAAAAGACCAAAAGAAGGCTATTGAGGCTGGGACACAAAAAAGTGAGAATCATAAAGACAAAATGAAGAGTGTGTAGGAGAGAAGTGTGCCAGAAGCTCTGGATAACCCCAGAGAATGACTGAGGTGCTAACCTTAAAAATTCAGTTCTTAGTTGGCAGTCTAATTTTCATTTGAGAAATATGATTAATAAATCATTCCCGAAAAGGAAAAAAGTACATAATTGATGTTCAGATGACATAGATCCTATGAACTGCAAAGGCCAAGGAGCAGGAAATGACCCTCACTAGCTGGTGTTTTTTACCCTTTATTACTAATTCAATGATTTTTATGGGAGACTCCAAGAGGTCTTGCGAGAATCCTTTAGATGCTCCACGGGGAGAAGATAGAAACAAAAGTTCTATTTCATAATCAAGAATTCTCCTGTAAAAAAATTTTATGAATCAAGTGCCAAGTTCTACAGAGAATAATCCACAAGCAAACCAAACATGATTTGGTCATGACCTCCTGAATCGGCTGGATGCCCACACCCGGTCCACAGGGAGGGAAACACATTCATAGGTATCTTACTAACTTGTGCAGGGCTAAGCAAGCAGCTGTTAAAGATAGTTCTCTTTAAGACAAGCTAACGACCACATGACACAGAATATTAAGGAATAGGAAAAAATGCTATTTATATTTAGTTAGCAAATTCTGAACTAAAGTTGGTAAAGAGTAAACCTGATATCCTCTTACAGAAAAGAAATAACACAAACTAGATCTAAGGGAGCTGGCTTCTAATCTTGGCAATGCCATAGTCTTGAGCAAGTCACCGAACGTCTGAGTTACAGTTTCTATTTCTGCAAAATGGAGATAATAATTCCGGCTTAATTGAATTGTATGAGGTTTAAGTAAGTAAATAGCACAAAGTCCTGAGCAAAATACCTGATACACAGAAACCTCTCAGTAATTGTTTTTATCAGTTTGGGGTGCCAGACTAAATTTCTCAGTGGAAGGTACAAGTAAGACATTTCTCCTTATAAATATTGACTGAAAATCTCCAACTCCGAAATCACTGTGTGTCCATACTAACATCCATGCAAAGAGCCAAAACCACATGTTTTATTTTTCAGTTGTCTAATTAAAAACAAACCAGAGCAGCATTCAACTTGGAAGCTGATGAGAGCACCACCTGTCTGATTTTCTTATAGCTGTCAGAAGCAAATTTTAGATCCACCTCCCAGATTTTTACCTCACTAGAACTGGATTGTGTCTGGATTCAAAATGCTTTAGTTGTTTAAAGGGTCCTTTCATTCTAAGAAATATACATATATTTTTATATTTACATATATTTTACGTATTTATATATAGATGAAACAATTGCTACCATGATCAAATAATTTAAAAAATATGTTTTAGTTATGGCATAAACCTTTTCAGAGGAAGCACTGAAACAAAATATTTCCTTTAATAGAAAGATAGAGTTCATCATATAGAGGTAAAAGAGACATGGGGTGTGTGAAAAGAATCAGAATTCAAATTGCTTCACTTTTAAAATCATATTGATCTACATTCTGTGCATTTCTAACTTTGTCTCTGTATATCTACCAATAGTAAAATATGTACAAATTTTGTGGGAGCACTTACATCTTAAATCTTACATACGTGTGTGTGCATATTTATACACTGAAGTTAGAAAGGAAAAACAAATTTAAGATCTCCATTTTAAAATATCATAAGGCAAAAATGCTCAAAATAATTTTTCTACATTCAAACATTAAATGCAACATTTTAAGTTCATTGTGGTCTCTATCCTTGCAAGTCTTGTAATTTTTGCAAGGTAAGATATCAGCGGTTACATGACTATAGCTATTTATAGAGGTACGGGTGACAACTGGTACCTACTGGGGCCTTTAGCATAGCAGAGAAGAGTTTCCCCATGCAAAATTTCAGAGAAACCCCTTCTCTCCCCCAACACACAGATCTATCAGCCTCTCTGCTCCCAAATCCACTTCTCCAATCCCGTATAGAATCTTTGATCAAGACAAGTATCTAAAAGCAACATTTAAGTCGACAACTTGACGGTCAATGTCACTGTCGATTTCCACCTTTTTTTTCCTATTGGTACTATTGGAAAATGGTAGCAGTACCTTCAGCAGTGATCTCAGTCATGATGGTTGGAGAATGGAAAAGGCAGGCCAAAAGTTCCGGTCAAGTGGCACTTTGCAGAATACTTTAGAATTCGAGAACTCTGATAGGGGGCTCTGTGTGAAAAACGTGAAGGCTCTTCGTTTTCCTGGCTGTTTCTGCTGTTCTTTTATTGTCCTGTTGAACTTCGTCTCTTCTCTGCAGAGTTCTCCCCCTGGAAACAACCTGAGCCCTTTCGAAGCTGGGCTTGTGGCTCAGGCAGAAGTATCAGCTTTGAACAAAAATAGCCTCATCTCCCTAGGACTCTTCAGCACTTTTTTTTTTTTTTTTTTTTTGGCACTCTAGGGGAACACACACATACACACACACACACACACACACACCAGCTCTCCAGCCCCAAAGAAAGATAGGGAAAACAACAACAACAACAACAAAATAACTAAAAAGTAGTCTAAGCCCCCACAGTTCCCTTAAGGTAATTACAGATCTTGGGGTCTATGTCAGAAAATACAAAATAAGGAGTTGAAAGTAATCTTATCTGTGATAGCTCAGATTTATTCTTAGTGCCCTTAATGCTCAGAACATTCTTCTTCCCTTATTTGGTGTGGGGAGGGTCCTGTAATGTCTACCAGAGGCAAAGGGGAGGGTAGTCTTCAGTCATTTTCTCCAGGTTGATTCCCTATTGGTCTAAATTCACTTAGCAAGTGTAGTTATTTATATAGGGCCATGACTTAAAGTTGCCGCTATTAAATCCTGAGGCTTCCTTGTAGGGGATTAAGATTTTCCAAACATTAGCCAGTAAGAAATATGTAATGTGAAGTTATAGTGACACTTGAGAACTGATGAATTACCAGATCTTTTTATTCTCTTTCATACCTGACTGAGAACAAAATATCTGAATTTATCTATGCAGTAAAAGAGAGGGAAGGTGACATAAAGTTTAGAAATCTACAGCCAACATTGTAGTAAAAGATTTCAACTTTTCCCTGTCTCAACTTCAGGAAAATAAAAGAAAAAGGATCAAAGCAGCTAATGATTAACCAAACGGGCTGGGCTGATTAGCATTTCACCTTCCCACTCCCAGACAGGTGTTAATGAGCAGAGAAATATTCAATAGTTGGTTGTAGGAAGGGGAAGGAGAATCAAAGGGCATTGAGAATCACAAACTGCAGCCAATCTGAATAATCAAGGGGTGACTACACTTATCTTTTATATTATTCTCATAGTCAACCTAATAAATGTTTGTAGTTTCAACTTTTAGCCTTAACTTGCTGCACTTAGTTGTCACAATCTCTTTGATTTGTATGGTTCTTCAGAGATCACAAAGCAAAGTCATATCTGTTGTTTTAATTTTGGGGACTCAGAAGAAAGTTACAACAGCAATTCCCATAGAAAATGACACACACACCCCATGTCAGCACTTTTGTATTTGCTGCCTCAATTCCTCCCACCATAGGAAGTGTTCATATACTTGCAGAATAAGTAAGTTAAGCAATCTTAATTCACAAAAGAGGAAATAATTCCAGGTAACATTCATGGTTTTATCGAAGATCCTACACGAGGCCTAGAGGCTTTTGACTCCAAGTCCGATACCTTTCCCAAGAAGTGAGACTTTGTGGTGTACTCTACCATTTGCCGATAATGGGGAACACTACAGATGAGGTCACCTGCAGATAGAAAGATGCAGACTCCTGGCAGCACCCTCCTGGAGCACTGGGTTGGTGCCTGCTTTCTAAGATGGGGCAGAGGAAGCCTAAAAGCAGAGTTCTCTTTACTTCACCTCCAAAGTCATCTCCATTCAATATCATCACAGAGCTTCCAAATTTAAGAAAACATAGTCTTTCCCAACTCCATTTGTCAACCAGTCACTCTCACAGTCTCTCACTGTGGTTAACTGAAAAAAAAAAAAAAATCCTGTATGTAATTCACTAAGAATTTACATGGGTCAAGGTCTAAATAAAATTAGCTAGCTTAGAGCAGGAATAAATCACAATTACAAGCTCCTACTTAATAAGAAGTTGAAATAAGAATATAGAGCAAGAATACTAAATTCCTAGTGATTGATGCTGCTCTTAAATCCCCAATCACTAATTTTGTGCTATATATACCTTCTAGTATATAGAATATATATATATATATATAAACTTTTTTTCTCCTTCTAGAGAAAGAAAAGTAAAAAAATATTCTAGCGAATAAACATGTTTACAAGATAGTAAGTTTTTCTAAATGTATCTGTTGGATGAGTTGATGAATCTTATTAGACATTAGGATACCAGTAGATTTCTCATTTTGAAAAGTTATTACAACTTTCAAATTATGTGAAACCAAATTAATGATATATATCTTTGAGTTATATCTCTGAGTTTCAACTGGAACTCTCTGAAGTTTTCCAAAGCCAAGAAACTGACATTTTTCTAAAGGTATATACCCCATTCTTCAGGACACTCAAAGAATAAAACATTACAAACAATATATTTGCCTTTCTTCAACTTTTTTGCCTTTCTTCATCTGTAAGAGGTTTTCATTTTAAAGAGATCTTACAGTTCGTTGGGCTCTTTCCTTTTTTATTTTTTTAAGATTTATTTATTTATGTGAGAGAGGGAAAGAGTGGGGGAAGGGGCAGAGGGAGAGAGAATCCTGAAGCAGACTCCCCGCTGAGTGCCGAGCTCAGATGCAAGAGTTGATCTCAGGACCCTGAGATAATGAGACCTGAGCCAAAACCAAGAGTTGGCCGCTTAACCGACGGAGTCACCCCAGCACCCCTCATTAGGATCTTTCAGCATGACCTGAAAAGTGGTGGCTCTCTCTTCTCAGTACTAGCTTCCTGAATTGGCACAGGTAGACTGCATACAGGAATAACTGTCTTGATGCATTATTAACTGACAGGTCTTTATAAGTCAATGGTAAACCATGAAAGTTTGTTCTATTAAATGTTCTATTTAGTCCAAGCTGCCTCTCCAACTTGATTATACTGGTCATTGACCCTTGTGATGTTCACTCAGTGTTCTAAATATTCAACTTAGTAGACAAAAATATTCTTCTTTAGAGCAACGTTTTTTAAAAAAATCTGGCTGCTCTGTCAGGTCTTATCATAAACTAACAATCAGTAAGACCTATATTGCGTTTGGCTATGAAGAAGATATTTTTATTCAATTTCAGAATGCAAAAAAGATTCAGGAGACAACCGGAGAAGTTTTGATGATTTTTGGTTTCCACCAAAAAAAATCATATAATAAAACAAAATGAGGGCGCCTGGGTGGCTCAGATGGTTAAGCGTCTGCCTTCGGCTCAGGTCATGATCCCAGGGTCCTGGGATCGAGTCCCGCATTGGGCTCCCTGCTCCTTGGGAGCCTGCTTCTCCCTCTGCTTCTCTCTCTCTCTGTCTCTCATGAATAAATAAATAAAATCTTTAAAAAAAAACAAAATGAAATTTTAAAAAAATCATTTTAAGACCGTACTACATTATCTTGTTCTGTGCCAATGTTTGTGTGTTTTATGAGGTAGTGAGAAGATGTATAATTGGGAGAAAATAGTTATTTACTACCAGTAACCTATTTCTCAAGGGATGAAGATATTTGAGAGAAAAAAGATTTTAGGGTTACTTTTCAAGATTTTCTATTTCTTAGGGGTGCCTGGGTAGCTCAGTCAGTTAAGCATCTGCCTTTGGCTCAGGTCATGATCCCAGGGTCCTGGGGTCGAGGCCCACATCAGGCTCTCTGTTGAGTGCAGAGCCTGCTTCTCCCTCTGTCTGCTGCTCCCCCTGCTTGTGCTCTTGCTCTCTGTCAAATAAATAAATAAAATCTTAAACAAAAAGATCTTCTATTTCTTAATTTATGGATACAAACAGCTTATAAGTGAATAAACTATACATGAATTGGTGACAAATAAAAATAAAGTAATAAAAAAACTTTGTATAATATTGTACACTTTTTTAATAATATTGTACACTTAAAGTGTAAGTAAATCCGTGGAATACCAAATTGGGATCAAAGTGCTTTTTACTTGGATCCTAACATAATAACAGGTATAACTTTTATGTGAGCTTCAGTATTCAGTTTCATTTCTGTAAGACACAAAGGTAAATAATCAACCAGAATGATTTGGAAAAAAAGGGGGGAGGTAGGGGACAGAGCATCATAATGTAAGAAAATTGTAAGCGAAGAAAAACTTGGCAAAAAACAACTAGATAGAGAAAGAATAAATATTGGCTTTTTAAACCTTAGAAGGAAGAAATATAAAAGAAATTAGGACACTAAATGTGAACTTGAGAGCCATTTGATTGTATTCACTTTCATCTGACCTTGAAATCCCATCACATGACCTAGAAATTCCTCTGAAGCCCTCACTTGATAAACTTAATCTTCTGAATCACAAGAAAACCTCAATTGAACTATTAGTTCATTAATCTTACTTCATCTCAACACTGCTGTTCACTTCATTTTAAATTATTTTGTGTTCTATTTGTGTCATGGAAAATCTCATTCCATCCTCATTATTTTCTCTAAATGGCCTGTGCTCATTTCTTTAACCAAAGGTTGAAAGTCTTTCCATAGGTTTGGCTTACCATCTGATTATTTAGAAACTGTGTAATCCAGCTCGTTTCAAATGACAGAAGGCATTCCAGTGCAATTAAAAACTTTCCTCTCTTTAACTCTGACTCATGAATAGCTGAGTCTCCAATATCAGGCTTCTTTCCTCACACGCATTTGACATTGTCAAACATTCTCTCAGAAATTTGCCTACGTCAATTCAGTCTTCAATTAACAAAGGCAGCCCCTTCCTTCTCGGGGATTCTATTCTCTGAATTGCTGGCTTCTGTCCACTACCACTGTCCTCTTTATAAGGACCTGCCATATCCTGTAGGAGGTGGTCCTGTGGAAGCCATAATTCGGATTACTGCTTTCTGCTCTGCAGCTGTCATGTATGATCTTCAGTCTGTGGTCTTAGCTGCTATTCAAAAGCAATTTTTCATTTATGCTTTTTAATTTTCTTATAAAAGCATAAATAGCTTTTTTTAATAAAAGTATCTGCTGACTAGTTCTTAGATACAAATTTCTTCTCCTCTAAAAATAATTTAAATGAGCATTTCTATTTGCTAACTTGGATACAATTCACAACTTCGTCACCTTGTTTTTTTTACATTTTGATGTTTTTACACTATCAATGTGTATATCTGGTTTATCATTACTGCATGCTAACTAGGGTCACTAACTTTCTGAACTTGGTTATAAATAAGGAAATAACTTGTACTCATTATTCCATTGTTCAATAAATACATATATTATCTCTT